CTGACCCAGATTTATTTGAAACAAACCAACCAGTGGACCGTGTAATTGCAGTCAATGCCGCTCAGTACTTTTCCTGTGTAAATCAGGCACATGGGGAATTCTCTCAAGACACTGAATAGCAGCACTTCTGCTATGCACCACATTCCCCACATGTTCAACAAGCCAGAGAAGCAGAAAAGCAAGCATTCAGTCAAAGAGACAGAATAAGGTCAATGCTGGACTTGTATTTCACCTGCTCACCTAATTACAAGGCACAGTTCTATTGTACGAGACACATTTGCTGCACTTTTGCCTGATGCCACCCATCACAGTCAGCAAGACCAAAGCAATATCCTCTAAAGCTGTCATCTTTTGGCTGGGGAATTTATGAGGATAGTTCACACCATAAGTGATGCTGGCTGCAATGCTGTTCTGACAATCATCATATTAAAGTCATAAGCACCATCTGAAACACAGCAGCAGCATTTTCACACATGCAAAATGATATCTTGTACTATGGGCAAAGGTTAACCTACATCAGAACGCAAGTTTGCACACAAGGGAGACGAGCAACAGTTATAAACCATTACTCCACCACAAAAAAAACCCTCATGGAGTTACTTTAATAAAGCACTCTTAGGTTCTATCAATTTCAAAACACTCTGCTTAAAAAAAAAAGTTTTTAACTAGATGTTTTCAGCTTATAAATTAGATTTTATATTAGACCAGTAATAGCTTATCACTGGTGCTTGTGTAACAGTATCGACTCCATTCGGGGAAGGAATCGCGATTTAAATCTAACTAAGGGGAGTGCAGTAAATCAAATAACCACAAAGACATGAACAAGCAGGCTTTACTGCTTTTTTTCTTGGTATCAATCTGACCCCGGGGAAACTTGAGCCAAATTCAGACGTCACTAAACCCATGATATCCAGATTTGTACAGAAAGGTATGTACGAAACAGTTTTCAGGAATGTTTTGGTACAGAAAATAGGTGGAAATATCAAAACTCAAAGAGTGAGCCTTAAGGCATGATTTTTCATATGGTATCATGTTATTATCCTGTCCAAAAACTAATTTACAATCAGCAAAACAGCACCACAGATCTGCCAAGCAAAATGAAGACAATGACTTCCATATTTGACTTGCTAAATTAATTTTAATCTGAATAGAGCACTGTGTCAACACAGAGTTGATGGTAATTGTGCTCAGCATGAATCTGAGGTGAAAAAAAATTAGTCGCAGGCATTATCATCTTGTAACCTAATTACTGTACCAAAAGCTTACTCTCTCTGCATTTCCACTGAAGTCACCAAGAGACATCAGGCTGCTTTTTTTTTTTTCTTCATGCAGTCTTTTTCATGAATGCAACACACTGGAGAGTCATGATCTAATACAGAAAAGCTTAATTGGTACCTTGGAGCAACAGTGACAAAAATACTCGAGCACTGCATGCAGGAGGCATCATTACAGTCAAGCTTACATGACATGCCTGCTACTGAAACAACAAAAGGACAGCAACCATCAATTGCTCTTGCCACATAGTGTGGTGCATGCCAACATCCACAGAATATTTCTGCATATCATTTCATTACAGGGAGACTGTAAGCCTGTGAACTCACTTTGTAAAGACTGCAGCCTTATGATGCAAGTAGAGCAACGCTGTCCAATTCAAATAAATGCACAGCAGGGGGATCTCAAGTCTCCTTGCAGTAATGATCCACCTCATATTTGTGAAAGAGATCCAGTGACAAGAGGCAGATTTTATTTTTTTCTTTTAGAATTAGAGTGTGCACTAATTTTCCCCTGTCTTGTATGTTACAAGAAGTAGATCATATACTATGTTATCTGTCATTATTATAATATGATGATGAAATGGTCTTTATCAGGATTATTTCCTGACTATAAACTCTCATGATCATGTTATGCTTTATGACTCTTTATCCTGGCTATACAGTATATATACACTATAAAATTTGATGAAAAAAACATTAACAAAACAGAATAAAGGTCACCCAAACAAACCACAACGATACCACACCATACCAAGCGTACTGGTACAAGTCTCATTCCACACAAGCTGCTGTGGACGACACAGCATGGTCGCTTTGATAGATTTTGGAGATTACCCTTCTCATGCACAACGATGAGACCTGATACTGATTTGGGACGGACATTTCCGGACAACCCAGAAAATTATGCATCGTTTTTTCCATCATAATCTTATTACCTTCAAGACGTTCCTGGTGAGCTTTCCGAAAGAGTTGGGAATGATCAGAAGGATGGGGCTAGATGAATTACTTGAAGTCCTCCTCCTCTTAGGACCAACAACAGCCCAGTCTAGCGCTACCAGGCCGTCGTCACTCAGCTGTAAATAATCTCGGATGAAATGCACGGCGCAGTCGTGCGGCCAGAGAGCGCCCAAAAGCGTCTGCAAACACGGACTCGCCCGCCAGTGCCACGCCGGGTTCGGCACGTATTTACAGAAGCTCGCGCAGTGTTTCAGCAGGTATTTGGCGAGTGCCGAGGGCTTGCAGATGAACGCGACAGGAGCTGATGATTCACCTGCCGGCTCGTGCACTTTAACAGCCTCCGTCCCAGTTGCACACTCCGATGCCCTCTTCTCTCCTCGTGCGATTTCAGGCCCCGTTACAAACGCTCCCAAATGTTTGAGCACTGGCCAGACCGTGGCCACCAAGAGGAGGACACAAACAATGCCGATCCATTCCAGCATTTGAACGGCTTCTCAGAGCGAAAACACAGAAATCCAGCGGCAGTGAAAGCGGAGGTGGGGTTCATTAAATAATAAAAAAAAAAGGAAAGAAAGAAAGAAGAAAAAAAGACACCCCGATTCACCAGAAGCGTAAAAGCCAAAGTGAATCCATTCCCTTGATGAAAGCGCGCTCCATGCGCTCAAACCTCTGTGGGGAAAGTCTCCAGTGCGCTCCTCTCTGCTCCTGCAAGTTCAAACAACTTTTAGAAACTGGTGCCTTTTGCTCTGTCCTAAGTGATTCACTATAAGCGATTCATTTCTGGATCAAAAATAATCTTCAGTGGTATCCATACGGCATTAAATACGCGTTTTAAATCAAGCCAGTGTCCAACGTTGGCGCCATTAGGTTTTGAAATGCAGGGCTAAGTGTGTGTGTGTGTGTGTGTGTTTGCTGGAGCTCAGTGCAGGAGCTCTTCTCACGCTGTCAGCGTTTTTAAAGCCAGCAGCAGGCGCCTTTTTCTCCACCGTGCAGCATATATCTGTATAACGACTGCTCTTGCTTAATCCAGTCCCAAGCAGACATTTCTGTTCAATCGCATCCAAAGGTGGTCCACAAAATCATCTCGATCATAAGCATAGTGGAGTAAATTGTCATTTTGCCCTTTATGTGATCAGTACCTTTTTACAATTTCAAAACACCAGGAACCCCTGAAGCACAGGGAGAACATGCAAGCACCAGGCGCACAGGCGGGATTCGAACCGACAACCTCAGAGGCACAGGTCAAACATGCTAGTAATCAGTAATGTCAAGTGCTTCATGAGAAATGTGAATCTGGGTCAGGAATTATCAATGGCTTTCTATAAACTAGGATACTTGTTTGTATGGGCTGCTATGTACTGTATCCAGGGGCCTGGTAGAAAAATAGAAACATATAAAGAATTGAGACTGGGACTGATTTCTTTCTAGCCCAGACTGTAGACTCATGCAGCATCAGTCAGCCACTCCAGGATTTTGTGACTGCAGAAATGAACGCAAAATCAAGCTCTGCAACATCCGCAGGAGTTTGCAATTTTATAAAATTATCGCAGATTTAGCTAAGACACATCATGTGACGTCATCACAATGCACATTCAGGCTATAAGCCCCCTTCGATTCATGTGCGTCGAAGATGAGTACAGCTAAAAGGGTCTAATTTACCAACATACATCACTGCGAAAGACCATGCAAAACAATTTCTTGCAATTGTGATTTTTCCAGTTCGTGTAGTTTTCTGCACAAGAAACTCTGCAGCAAAATCAAGTATTTTTTTGCCCCAACAATCACAAAAAACTGCATGAAATACTGTAAGGACTTATCCATGACAGTTATGTCAGATGATTAGCCTACACGGAGTGAAACATCTCCAAGATTTGATCTTAATTTGTGCTGATATTTTTTTTAACCCATGTAACTGACATATGTCAGCTCTGTAATGAACACGAAGGATCATTTACTCAATCACCATTTTTTCCTCAAAATGCCTTTGTAGAAAAACACACACTGGCATGGTGCCATGTTGAACTTCCAGTGAACAGTATGAGGGAGTGTGAGACTGATGACACCAAAATGAACACATCTGCTCCCCATTCACACCTGAGACCTTGTAACACTAACAAGTCACATGACACCGGGAGGGGAAAATGGCTAATTGGGCCCAATTTAGACATTTTCAATTAGGGGTGTACTCACTTTTGTTGCCAGCGGTTTAGACATTAATGGCTGTGTTGAGTTATTTTGAGGGGACAGCAAATTTAGACTGGTACACAAGCTGTACACTCACTATTTTACCTTGTAGCAAAGTGTCATTTCTTCAGTGTTGTCTCATGAAAAGTTATAAATTAAATTCAGCAGTACTGAATTCTGTACATGGGTCTGTCCTGAACTCCTCAGGACTGAACTGACATGACTTTACATTCTCTCTGAATTGTAAAATGATGCTGATATTACAGTGCTTGTCACCTTGCTGTACATAATTCATTGTCGTCAGTCAGTTTGCTCTTTAAAACATAACTTGCTACAAAATCCGAATTTTGATATTGAATCAAATTCAAATTGTATTGGTCACACACATAACCATACACAGTTGACATGCAGTAAAATGCTTTTTTTGAATGTCCATGCCATAAAAATGGAATTTATATAAATCAGATTTTACTTTATCTATACAGGTAGGAAAGAAAAAATGTTTTAAAAATATGATATAACAAAGATTAATTGCAGAAACAGTACCACAGTATTTTGAATAAGGTGCAACATCTGCAATGTTTGTACACCGCCCAGGAATCAAACCGGGGTCACAAGAATGTAAATCTTAAATAATACCGCTACACCAGCAGTGCAAATCAATTAAGAGATAATTCAGTTGATTGGTTTAATTATGCTAAGGGGTGTACAACTCCAGACATTTTAACTCTTTAACTTTTCATGAAATAACAAGGAAACAGGCCACACATACCCTTGAAACTGCTTATCAGTCAATTGTCCAATTACTTTTGAGCCTGGAGGGACTATGTAACAATGGCTGTAATTCGTAAATGGTAATGTAATGTAATATTTTTGTTAAAGTCCTTGAATGAAAGCTGAAAGCCTACACTTCAATAACATCTTAAGTGCTTTATTTCAAATCTATAGTAGTGGTATGCAGAGGCAAAACGACGAAAATTGTGTCGCTGTCCAAATACTTATGGGCCTGAGTGTAAGTGGCTTAAAATATCACCATATTTATAAAAGTATGATAAATATCTCTCACTATCTTCAAAAAACAGCTAAAGACCCACCTTTTCCGTGAACACCTAACCATCTCCTAAAAAAAAAAAAAAAAAAAGAAAAACCACAGACTTACACCTCTACTCTGTACACTTTGCTTCCTCTGGTATTCAATTAATGGATCTTGTATAGTAGCACTACTTGTATTGTTCCCTGCTTGATATATCGCTTTGCTTATTTGTAAGTCGCTTTGGATAAAAGCGTCTGCTAAATGAATAAATGTAAATATTTTATGCATCTTATTATCCTGTAATGCCTCACCCTGCCTTCTTTTTGAATTGTAACAAAAGTAGCCTATAGGTGGCATTGGGCCATTTGGGCGTATTGCATTACATGGCTGGCACCCTCACAGCTATTGTTCTCTAGGTATTATTATCACTTTCAGAATAGATACCAAAATATCTTCCATTCCTTTTCCTGTCTATTAATTTCAAATACAGTACAATCCAGGGCAGTAGAATTAGTGAACAAAAATATAGCACCAGGCTTCTGTTTAACCTTTGAACTCATTCAGTGAAAAGGTTCCCTTACACATTCAGCAGCATTCTGCAAACATGAATTTGATTTTAGACATGGCCACGTGTTTATGGTGTATAGAGCGTGTGTCTGTGTGTGTGTGTGTGTGTGTGTGTGAGAGAGAGAGGTTTTAAATTATTGCTGCCATCCTTAACCTTCATGAAATATACCCCTAAGGGACTACAGCAGGAAATCTAAAATCAGACACGACTCACTGATGTATTTTCGGGTGATTCAGTGACAATTAGTGTTGCTACGCTGAACAGGAAGGGCTTAAGAATGGTCTGTGAAGGATGTCGGATCACTAACAAAGTCCTTGGGCAGACAGTGAGGATAAACAAAGACATGAAAAGACAAAGGATGTTTTTCAAGAGGCTCTAACCCAGGGGGCCCAAATCCAGCCTTTCTGATTAACTGTGACCTGTCCTGTTCTTTGTTCTCCTCATCTTGTCTGGTGAATTTGTATTTTGATCCATGTGAAGTGACAACCATATACTGTTCTTTTGCTGACCTCTGTACTAGATTACTGGATCGCATTGTGGTAACACAAAGTCATGTCACTGAGTTCCTGTTCATTTCTCAACTTCCCAGCAAAGGTTTGGAATTAAGCTCCTTGCTTGAGTGCTGACTCCAAGGAAACTTTTAAAATGAACATAAGCCTACATAATCACTTGAATGACAGCATATGTAAGATCACATGCATTATAAATGAAAGATCTCCGGCACAGACAACTGACAGTTCCTGCAAGTCATGCAGCATTACTGCAGTGCATTTTGGGTTTTTCTTATTTTAATTCAGAAGGTTGATGGTGTATCAAGAGAACTGACAGAACGTATTGCAATATTAAACATTTTTTTAAGGAAAAAGGAAGTGCACAGGGGGTTTCAACTCTGACTTACTGTACTTCAGTCTGCACTTTTGGTGTGCTAAATTCCTGAATTTGATAGGTCTCATTGCCGGTTCTTAATAGAAACCATCTGTGGCTGTGCTGAATGCATTGAGTGAGCTCCTGGTTTTGGGTTCACACTAACTCAATAAGACTCTCACTCACATTCTCACTCTCAGCTGGGAAATCTCATTACCATCCACTGAAAGTGTGAGACAGAACGGTCTCTTTCTTTTGCTCTTTCATGGCTTAGTATGGCCACTGTGGCAACATTATCTGATCTCTCGGTCTCATAGTGTACAGTACACTCAGGGTAATGGCTCCTGAATGTTCCTCATACCGTTTAATTCCTGAATGTTTTAGCTCTGTGGGCACCGTTTAATGAGTCTATACAAATATAAAGTGCCTCATAAAGAGGGGGAGGTGAAGAGACAGATCTCTGCTCAGGCAGGAGCTATGACGTCAAGCACCAGACACACTTCAACTCTAGAGAGACATGATCTTGAACCGTATGCAACGCACTTGTAAATAAACATGATGATGGACTGAATCTGCATCAAGGATTTGGCTATTTGGACTCACTGTTTCAGCCTTCATAGAAGGACTGCTGAAACAGTGCCACATGTACAGTATTTGAACTTACTGCATATGTGTGCACACATTAGCTCTGCTGATACCTTGTAAATAAGTATAAACTGGCATTCAGTGTGATTGTGGCTATGTAAACCCATGTGCCAGGCTGAATCAGCTTTGTGTAGTAACGCACAGCGACTCACTGTGAAATTTGAAGCAGTAATACATTCAACCACATCCTCTGTGACACTCTTCCTGTCCTTCTTACACTTCCTGCCCTGTAATACAAAATACAGGAGACCTGCAACTGAGTCCTGTCACAGATTAATCTACTCAGGACTTACACACAAACTGCAATGGTTCTGTCCTTGAGAAATTATCATGTCTTGAACACTTTCTCCCAAAGTTAATTCCTGTTGAACAGTGTTTAATTCTGTATTCTTTATATCTCAAGTTTGACAAGCACAAAAGTAGGTCAATTCAATGAACTAAAAATTATTAATAAGTATCTAATGTCTTCAATTTTGACTTTGTAATTTATAGGTCAAGGTAACAGTAATCTTCATTAGAAACTACTATATCTATGAGCAAGCTCAGTAAAAAGTTCCTTCTTCCCAACTGTCATACATGGCCAGTAAAGCTGTCACTATAACTCTGCTCTGTATGACAGGTTGTTTTTAAATGCTGTGGTGAATTATCTCTCCTGCAGGAGTTCCCGTTAGCACCACTCAGCCTGCACAGTCTGGCTGTCAAGACCAATTTAGCAATGTAAAAACGATTGATGACTATATGTTTTTTGATGCTTACACTGTCTCTTGCTATTCTATTCTGTTGTGGTGCAACAAGATGCTGCGGCACATTAAATATGTATTAAGTGTAATCCGCAGGGACCATTCTCCCCTCTCTGTAATGCTTTTACAGAGAATGCTGGCCTCTGTGGATTTCTGGATCTCACAATTGTCTATAATTTATGCTAATTAATGCAGCTGAAGCCAATGCATGCATCTGCATTTAAATTTGGGGTATTTTCCTCCATCTTGACATCACACTGGACTTGTCATTCATATCATGCATGACCTGTCATGGTCCTGTCACATCAACTCCCTGGTGAAGAAGGCCAGGCACTTTCTTTACGCTTAAGAGACTTTAAACTGCCAGCTATGGTGTGAAGGAACTTTTACACCTGCACCATTGAGAGCATCCTGATGGGAAGCATCACAGCCTGGTTTGAGAACAGCACCAAGCAGGATAGGCAGGCTCTCCAGAGGGTGGTGCGATCAGATGAGTGTACCATCTGCACTGAGCTTCCTGACCTGCAGTCTATCTACAGCAAGCAGTGCTGGACCAACACCAGGAAGATAGTGAAGTACTTCAGCCATCCAAACAATAGACTCTTCTCTCTCTTCCTTTAATATAGCTTGTATTCATTTATCTTCAGTAACCACTTATCCTGTATTACCCTGTCTTTGTAAATATGTAGTATATATGTGCACAATTTCTATACAACTACCTCAGATTAATGCTGCACAGCATTACCTTGCACAAACAACTGCACACATTATAATCAGACTGTTGCTGCCACCTATCTTTTTATCCTTACATTATATATAGATAGATAGATATTTGAATATATATAAATGATGATGAGTCTTTACTGGTCACATATACATTACAGCACAGTCAATTTTTTTTTTCTTCGCATATCCCAGCATGTTAAGAGGTTGGGGTCAGAGCACACGATCAGCCATGATATGGAGCCTCTGGAGCAGAGAGGGTTAAGGGCCTTGCTCAAGGTCCCAACAGTGGCAGCCTGGCAGTGCTGGGGCTTGAAACCCTGACCTTCCATTCAGTAACCCAGAGCCTTAAACCATCAAGCCACTACTGCCCCATTTATTTTTTATTTATTTGTTTTTTATTTGTATTTAATTTTTTTTATAATGATATACAATGATACTGTATCAGAGCTGATAAATGTTTGGGGAAAATGGCTGAAGTTTACTGAAGTTTATTTTTTCTAATGAGCAAGCCAAACATGGTTTGCTTTTTTTTTAAGTATATCTTTATTCTCTGTTTCAACTCTATGGTACTAGATAAAAGTGATGGTAACGTGTCACTACAAACAAAAACAAAACATAAAGACTTCATATTGCAAACTAATCATAAACAGTGAAGAATGTAAAGGTAACTTTAGGTTACTAACTTTAGAAAACTTTACAAAACTCTAAATTTTATGTAACTGGACGTTTAAAATTTCAGTTGAAAACCCCCCAACCATGAACAGTCTTTAATTTTCTAATTATTTGATTGGTTCATCCCTCTATCCATCTTCTATACCACTTATCCTTTTCAGGGTCACGGGGAACCTGGAGCCTATCCCAGGGAGCATCTGTCACAAGTCGGGGTACACCCTGGACAGGGTGCCAATCCATCGCAGGGCACAGGGTGTTTGGTTAATCAGCTTCTATTTGATACAGTAAAATTACACATCAAAGGCCATAATTATGAAGGGTTTTTAAATTTACTCAATCATAAAATGAGGACTGTAACCTCCTGCAATCAACAACAATATGATGACACAAAAATTGCACAGTAAGGAC